TTTCCACCAAAATTCAGAATCAAAATATGCCTGCTTATCACTCCTTACTATAGACCCTGGTTTCTTGGAGACACTTTTTTATGTTGCTAGTTTATTACTTTTTTAAATATTCAACCTGCAATCCTTTAAAACAATAACACTGTTTTGTTCTGTGTATTTTTTTCCACTGCACACAGAAAATAATTCATTCTAGCTTGATTATTTCTTTCTTGTTTTCCTATAGAAACTATTTGTGATCATCACTTTCAGCAAGCACATAGTGGAGCAGATGGTGTTACTCATTGGGTAAGTGTCCAGTCATTCTTTTGTGTTTGTGTGCTGAAGTGGGGGGGGGGGATGATAGGGATAGAGACACCTTGTTTTATAGCATCATTGTCTTTCCCCTGGTTTTTGTGGTTGCCAGTGAATTTGTTGACCATTTTAAATGTATTTTGACCACTGATTGGGAATCCTGAATATTTACACTGTAGAGGGTGTACATGCTCACAATTCTCGTTTTCCATACAAAGCCCCCCACTCAGTCCCTCCCTGCAGTGTTGGCAGGCAGGCATGTGAGGTCCAATCTGAACATGTTGAAATGACTCACCAAGCTCAGCTGTAAAGGTTTCCCCAGTGAGGCAGGCAAAGAAACAAACACTTTTTGTTGAACTGTTTAACTAATGGCAGGTTGAGCTTAATTATTGGGGTAATATACCAACTGTTTATATCAAATTAAACTACACATTTTAGATGGTAATATTAACCAATGATTAAAAGAATATGTTAGAAGTTTTTTCAGATGTGATGCTAATTTTAACAAGGTGGATCCTACCTACATGTCCATTTAAGAGCTGGTTGGATGGTATTAATGTATCGGCTGTTAAATGTTTATTTACACATACTTGTTCAGGTAGGAACTTTCTATTCCATATTTGGATCTCCATCTGGTCATACTGGGTGTCTTGTTTCTCTTGGATTAAAATAAAATTCAAGGTTCTTTCCCATGAAACTCAGAAGGCCCCGGATGACTCGCTATGATTTGTTCAAACAGATCTGATACAGGATGTTTTTTTGGCACCGCTTCGTGTATTCATGTGTGCGTAAAAGGGGGAAAGATAACTAAAATGAGGGAGACAAAACTAGTTGGGTTTATTTGGAATCCGTTATTGTACATTCCATATCTAAGCCTTGTAAAGTCTAGTCTACCATGACTATGCCTTGACCAGCGGCAGAATTTAATTTATGTACTGGGACCGCTGTGTCAGAGCATTTGCCGACTTTTTCTTTTCATTGTAATGATAAGTTTTGCATCATGTCAAGATCCTGTTGAATTGAAGCACGTCTGACCATATAGTAAAACTACAAACCAATACCTCAACATTACACCAATTGACAGAATGGTATCCATTATGATAGGCCCCCTGGTGAGCTAATCTACATTGCCTTATAAGGACATGAGCCCGCCTTGATTTGATATCTTCCCGCCCAGAAGGCAGCAATGGTGGTAAAGTTGATGACATCATGTCGACTCACTTCCTGATTGAAGGGCTGACACAGGCTCCTATATAGAGCCAAGCAGTATAAAAAGAGAGCTGAGGAGTTTGTGCTTCATTCTACCCTGCTGCCTGCTCAAGGGAGGAGATGGAAGCTCATAGAGGAGGCCCACATGTAGGATGGGGCCTTCCACAGCTGTTGCAAGGATGCTGGATCAGTGAGAACCTGTGGTCGTGTTCAGGCAAAGAGAAGCCTTCATGAGCTGCTTTTTCAGGGTCTTTTAGGGAAACGTTTGGAGAGGCTGAAGCTTCAATGATGGGCTCCATGGTAAGGAGGCTTTCTCAAAGAGTAAGTGAATTGATCTTCTTTCTCTTTGTCTTTTTCTTTCCCAATTCTGTTGGAATTTTCTTGGGGCTGCAATGTCAGGTCTGTGCCCAAAGTGGGGCCAGCACTCCAGAAGCCCTTCAGTCAGTACCTGGAAGCACAAAGGAACAAGCTGCACGATGCTGGAGGAAGTGCACCAACGGTAGGAACAATACATTGTTTAACTATTAACCATTATATCTCCGAAATGTGAGCTTCATTGATCTAATATGTTTGATAGTATGAATAAATAAATGTCTCACTGTTAAGTTAAAATGAATATTTTATTAAAGATTCAAGTGCTCTTGGTTGATCCATGTTGGGTCTCTGTGAATAATCAGTACAGACCTGCTCTTTTTGTAAAGAGTTTTGAAATATTTGTGACTATGATTTGGCACTATATAAATTAAAACCATTTGATTGGATAAAAAAAAAAACGTCTTCCCAACATAATGGTTTAGCGGTATATTTGGACATTGAGAAATAATTGTCATTGATTTGGACACACTATTTAGCTGCAAATGTACTTTTAAATTAAACAACTCATTTGTAGTGCTGTTTCATATTGACAAACATTGAGGATAATAAAATATTTGCAACAAGCTAAACTCATTAGATGTGAAGTTATTGCTCTCAAGGGGGAAATTAGTGGTAGGTTTAAGTGTACGTCAGACGCAATACTCCAAGAGATTTGTTCTGTATATTTTGAAAGTTTGTCTTTATCTTTAAATTCCATTTATTTTTAATAGTTTGCTGCCGTCATGTATGCATAGTGCTGAGTATTCCTCATTTTCCTCGTCCTACCGGCGTTGTCTGTGAACTGTTTTCTTTCTGTATATTTCTATGATGACATTTAATCATATGTATTCTCATTTTGGCCTTCCAGGATGAGAACTGGCTGTCATGGGTGTTTGAAAAGGTAGTACTGGTCATGGTCTGCTACTTTGTCACGTCCATTGTCAACTCCATGGCTCAGAGCTACGCCAAACGCCTGCAGCAGCAGAGGCACTCAGACGAGAAAACCAAGTGATGACGACACAAAGTGGTACAAACCTCCAAGTGACTCTTTCCTCCTGCTGCTGCTGAGAAAAGCCTCCACTCGGCCCCAGCCAGTCACAACTTAACAACCCCCCTCCTCCTCCCCAGTCAAATCCATTGTCAGAGGCTGAGCGCTAAAAAAAAAAACAGGCACTATTTGTTGGTGTGTGTGTTTTGGAGGATGTATGTATTTACTGTTTGTCCCTCTTCTTCAGGTTTTGTAGTTCTTCCTCTCATCTCACTCTTTTAGTGTGTGTAGTGTGATTGGTTCCTTTCTGATCTTAACTTGTTACTTTAATGTTAAATTAACTCATTCATTGACCTCAGAAGTAAAGCCGCTGTTGGTAACTGCTGTGTTCAGGCTTTGACCATCAGATGCTATGCCTTATGCAAAACGGGAGGGTCTGACCTCCGGAAATATAGTTCTTGACTTCTAAACTTGATTTTTATTTAATTTTTGTACCATAAATGTATGGATGGATCTTGACTTGTTTGTGCAGTGTGCTGCCAGGATAACTGCTACTTGTGGTTTTTATTTTCAGGGTTTAACTCTTCATGTATTTGTCCTGTTGAACAGTAAGAACAAGGGTTTTGTTGTTTTTGTTTCTGGAATTGTCAGTTTAAAATGACAGAGAAAAAGCAATATCAACTTTGCGGTGTGGTATTGACGGTTTGCACATTGTGTATATATCTTAATATCTTTTTTGACAGTATGCGCAGATGTGTTTTTATGCTAATGGTCTATGTGGACATAAGTTGACTTGAACCAAAACAAGAAAAAACAAATATCATTTGTAAAGTAACATTGTACTCTCAGCTAACTAGTCCCATTTCTATTCTGTACATTTAGGTCAAAACTTGGAACGGATCACATAAAAAATGTAAATCATGGCTTGTTTTGTCATTTTTGTAGGAGAAGCTTAACTTTGTAATGTTTGAACTGCTCTGTGGGGATCTTTTCATGAAATGTATTTTTTAACCATCAAAACAAATCAGTTGCTCAATATTCACTTTAAATTGATCATCTCTGAGGTAAGTGAACAGTTTGGTGCTAAAACCAATTTTTCATTTTTACAATATTTCATTTTTGTATTACTGGAAAAAACAATGATTTTCAAAATAATCACAGTTAAATTTGCCTTTTGCGGTTTGTTATTTTTTTTATCTCTTTTGGTTCAGAGTCTTCTGACCAACTGCTTGACCCTGAAACCTGAAATCCCGGCTGTTTCTGGGACGAGTCCTGCAGAAAACACACCTGGCTGATTCTGGTGGATTCCAGCTTTATGAAAAGAGGTTCCCTCTTATCTCGTTGGTAGTGTCTTCATTAAAACCACTTTCCCACCCCATCAGCTAGCTTATCAGACTGGTGTTGGCTGTTTAATGTGTACGGCAACAGCGGTCTGTAGGCTGGCTGAAGTTGTGGGCCTTCAGCATTACATTGGTGCCTCTAGGCTCATACTGAGATGCATGCATGTCCACAGGTCCATTTGTGGAAACAACAACCTGTTTGGTGCACACTGATCATAAAAATAAAGTAGTTGAAATTTGAATTGATGGCCTTGTCACTTTGCTTTGTGCAGTTTGTCTTCTACAATTTTTTGAACCACTTGGAAGCCCATACACACTTTAAATTCTTAGCCTCTATTTTTATTTTAACCTCAAAATTCACTAAGCTTATTTTTTGCCATTAAATGATCTTCCATGGGTGATGGTCCAACTCGACTCGATTGAAATCATCACTTATAGGGGGTTTAAAAGCATCTTATCTTACAGGAGATGACTAAATCTTTTGGATCATTGAGCTTCAAGTGCAGTGACTACCAACACATTGCACTCTATGGGTCTGTACCTCTGGATAATTAATGTTTATCACTATAAATACATTTTATTGCTCTTCATTTTACAGTTGTATGTTTTAGTAGTTCAAATATTAGTGCACAACTGAACTTTATTGTATTTGGCATACAAACAATAACTATCCTCATTATCTAATAGAATAGCTGATTATTTGTTTGACCTTGCACTGATTCTGTCCCTTTGATACTTTGAATAAACAGAAGTGTTTCACTCCTTCCCACTTAACATGTAAACCTCAAAATGTTGGTATTGCACTCAGTAGACCAAAGAATTGTTAAAACAAACTATATATTTTTATTTACACGATAAGTTTTTAGTATAAATAAATGTTCTTAGATGTCTGATGGATTTCTCTTGTCCACATACAGTTCAAAGGCAAGCTGATGCCTTTCCCATACAGTCCCAACGTGTTTTTTTTTTTTTTAAACTAAGACAATTGACTGTAGCTTGAGATGACCTGCTCAAGAGATGTGAAGCTGTCTAGAAAGTCCTCCTCTGAGATTCCAAATTTAATGTACTGATGGATGTAGGCCCTGTAACACAGAACAAAAGGGGAATGAAAATAGAAGACCAAATAATAAACATTTAACATATAGAGGTAAACACATTATAAACCTTGAATCATAATTCACAACACTGCTTTGCTCAATTGTCAAGTGGTAAAGATGTATCTGTTTGAAACATTCCTTTTTATATTATTTTCTTTTTATGAAACCAATAAGCCTGTTGCATCTTGCTGTAATTTTTGTATATGCATTTGCACTCATCCTACTTTGCACCACAGCTGTAGGATGTACATGTATAGGCAATACATTTGTTGTATTCAAATAAATATTATCTTCGCTTTCACTGAGTAAAGCAGCAAACTCACCTTGATGCAAACATATTCCATGCTTTTCCAACCATGTTATCCAGGGGTCTGAGCAGAGCCTGGCTGTTACTGACCAGTGTCGCAGACTTTTCATACTTATTAAAAGGCACTGGGGACTTCCACATATTGAAAGCTTCTTCTGATGAGAGCCAGGAGGTGTAAAGGGCTGGGTCCTCAAAACCACCTGTAGACAGGTCAAAATTCACCATGTTGTTCTGCGATTTCTGATCAATTAAAATGTTAAAAGTCTGTTGTACGACATTTTATGTGTCGCTTGAATCACAACAGCCTGAACTGGAAGAATGGAAATCCTTAAATAAAGATCATGATCTTTCATAGAATTATCAAGGTTTGATCAATGAGTATAAGAAGCCTCATTTTGCCCAGTTAGCCAATTTATACAAAACATTACAGCCAGTTCTCTGACCTGTCTCTGCACTGTACACGTCTTTTCCTCTCAGTATGAGTAGGTTGGCCAAAGAGGTGTTAAAGCTGGGGGCTATAAGACTCCTGGTCCGCCCTGAAGCTCCAGGTAGCTGCACCTGCCAGTCTATACCTGATACAGAACAATTAAAAGACAGATTCTTACAGTATATATATATATTTCTTTTTTAAGTGTTACCATATGTGAGTAGTAGATAGGACTTAAGGGAGAACATGCCTTCCTCCATCTTGCTGTTGGAGATGAGCATTTGTCGCAGGTGTTTGAGCAGGCCTGGCCAGCTGAATGTGCTGTAGGCTATGGAGGAGCTCGGCATCTGAGGTATTGTACTCACACTGAGCAGCTTGTACTCTGGGTGGCAAGTGAGCGCACTCACCAACTCGCCTGAGAGACAGAATCAGAAGAGGAGAAATTATTCTTGTTAAAATGTATTAAAACTTTGATTTTCTGCTAATTTACAGAATTTCAAACTCCCCTTGTCTAGAATAAACCATTTAGAAATCCAGGGAACCTGCCACATGTTTGTCTTTCCGTCTTGTCCTGTCTCACCTATAGGATTTCTGCCGTAGACTCCGTCGGAGTCAGCAGTGAGTGTCGGCTGAAGAACACTTCCCAGCTGGTGAGCGATGACCCTGTTGACATCACTGAAGGAGATATGTTTGATGTTGAGCAGCTGACTACAGATCCTGTGCACCGTGTCGTTCTCATGCACAAGAATGGCATCTGACAGCTGGTAGAGATGAGCCAGTGTCAGCAGAATTGTAATTCTGGACAATCACCTGAAAGGACAAATCAAGGGGAAAAGTTTTCTAAGTGTATTATTCTAATAGAAAAGGTAAGCAATTGACATAACTCTGTGTACCTCTCCAGTCCCGTATGGCCAGGTGAGGTGGTTGAGGATGAAGGACTTGGGAAAGATGTCTCTGAGACAGCGCGTTACATAGGTACCAACCCCAGAACCTGTTCCCCCTGCTACACTCATGATAGCCATGAGGCCAGCCAACCTGTCACAGCGCTCCACCTCTCGCCTCACCAGCTCCTCCACCTCATCTCTGTGACGAGGGCCAAGGACGCAAAACCTATGTACAAAAAGCCCATTACCAGTTTTGTATCATATTTTTAAGCACACAGTTTTCTTGCTTTGTTCTGTACTTGTCAATGAGTTGGAGTTTGTTTATTGAGTTTTTATTTTGAGATAATGACCATAACTTTGTCCCAAATGACCTTAAATTTAAAAAAAAATGTTTTGGAAGGCAAAGCTAGAAAACCTGACTCTGCAAGAGATGTTTTTAATTTTCTATAAATCATGAAACAAATTGATTATTGATTAAGTTATGTGCATGCTGATTAACACTGAGTCTCACTTTGCTAAGAAATCAAAATAGACAACAGACAATTATTCCAAAAATCACAACAGTTAGTAAGTTTGCAGGTCAATAAGTTTATCTTCATTTTAACTGAGCATAATCCTTTAAACAGACTCTCAAGGACAAAGACAAAGAGTCTTGAGTGGGATAGGATTGACGTTTTCGTTCAATCTTCTTACCCATTGGCCCAGTTGTTTCCAGAGCCCTGCTTCTGGCTGAAGTATGAAGTGTCTCCATACCTCCACATACCAGATCTGGAAGCTCTACAGATGCACTGGTTAATAACTTTGGGCTCCATGTCAACAAGAATCGCCCTGGCAACCAGCTCTGACCAACAGAAGGACAGAAACAGGTAAGCAGTAGTGCCATACAGACAGAACACACATCCAGAGTAGCTCATACCTCCATGTGCAGTCTGGTGGAAGAATCGCTCGCAGCTGGCTGAGCCGTACAGCCTCCTCTGTCCACCACGCGCATCACTACAGGTGAGGTCAAACAGCTCGTGACCCACCTGGTTCCCGCACTGGCCGAGCTGAACTGTAACCACGGACATTTCTCAGCCTGACCGCGGCACGTTTAGGAGCTGTGCAACTCGTACCAAGTACGTTCAAACATTGGGCACGGCATTTCCGGCAACATCAGAAGCTTTCAAAATAAAGTTATCATTACTGATTGTGTGAAATCGTTCCAATTCTTGAAATTGTTGATTAGTCTTGATTAAAAAAAAAAAAAAGTTAAATTATACTGATAATCTTGTAAATAATAATAATAACAATAATAATAATTGTTGGAGCCATGGATTGATATAATTGTATTTGTGGTATTTATTTAAGGTTAAGGTAGTCTGTTATATATTGGTGTTTTGGGTTATTGATTATTATATCATTTATTAGGATTATATTGAGTCGGGGGATGTCGGGTCACATGGGTATGGGCGGAGATGTGTTGATTTAACTCACCTGTTCACCTTTTGTTCTCAGTGGAAGAGAGGGGGTGAGCTGGTTTGCCGTATTTTTTGTTGACCGCTATTGTTTCTGGTTCACTGTGATTAAGAGTTAATGCACGTTTTATAAGTTAAGTTGATAATCTTTTTTTTTTTTACGTTAATAAAAAAAGTCAAACGTATTTTTACGTATCACAGTATTCTTTAGAAAGCGCGTCGGACAAACACATCAGGCCTAACCTTAACCTCTCAGCGGCTTCATATTCAGGAAAGCCGCTATAATAATACTAATAATAATAATAATAAATCTGTCTTTTTGTCAACAAGCGTGTTATCATAAAACCGTGCCCAAAGTTTTAGCACTACGTTGCATTTTATGTAAATGTACCTGAATGTAACTTGATTTTTCTGAAGTATCTCTGATGTGAAATTGTAAAAAGAAGGCGCTCCGGTTACCGCCCCTTTTGTTGGGTGTTGCAGTGCGCATGCTCAGTGTAGTAGCCGGTTATGGCGGCGGTGTGTGTTTGTCCATGAGGTGGGGGACGCCTGCTATTCTTACGGTCTGTGACAGAGCGATCCGAGCGAGGCGCTGCCATGGCTGGAGTGTTTGACATTGATTTGGATCAGCCGGAGGATAATGTCTCCGACGATGAGATTGAGGAGGTACTTTAACGTCAGATGTTGAATGTAACGACGAGAGTTGCCGCTGCAGAAACTAATCATGCACTGCAGCTAGCTAGCTGTTAGCCTGGTAGCCTGCCAGCCTCCACCACAGGCCTGCTCCTGCAGCCGGAGCTCAGGCCTTTTCTAATGGGGTTAGCAGAAGCTAATGCTAGCTCACCACCATTAGACTGGCTGTGATCCTGACAGAGCTGTCACCTGTACAGTTTCTTTTCCGGGAGAGATAGTGATGAAATGAATGCGTCGTTAACGTTGTCACTGTCTAAAACCATCGCTGTCATGTCGGAGTTGAGCAAGCAGAGCCTTACTTGGCCAAAGGTGTTGCAGTGATAAATGTGGCTCGGTGTGCAACAGTTTATTTTGGCACGACTGTAACAGAGAGGGTCTGTGTGGAGTTAAACTACCTGTGTGTGTCTAATAATGATGCAGCAGCAGCTCAATGTTACAGATTGTCTATTAAAGACTACATATCTTTAAATAATATGAGCAATACACTGCTTTGTGCACAAAAACATTGTCGACACCTGCTGTTACAGAAGTACAGTAATTGAATTTTATCAGCTCGGTGTTCAGAAGTTATTTGCACACTTCTTTTGTTGAACAAAACAAAGTTATTTGTGTCTTCTTGCTTCATGTTTTTGTTCGGTTAACATGGATTGGGCAACTATTTCATCACTGCAGTGCAGCCCGTGCTTGTCAGTATCAAATCACAGCTTCTGTGTGAATATGAAACCAAACAAACACTTTATAGCCAGTTCGATGTTTCGGCCAAACTTATTGTGCAAGAGGTGCTTAAGGGCTACAATTAACGCATTATTTGTCATCATTGATAAAGAAAATGACTGAGTGTGATAAAAACACACTTCACATTCATCAGGATTCAATGTTCTTTCTAATCAAAAGTTAAAAAAATAATAATAATAATAAGAAAGGCAGAAAATCTCCAAACTGGAGAGCCCAGAACAAGAAACGTTTTGGCGTGCTTTTTTTTGCTTTTAAAACCTCTCAAATGATAGTTGCAAAATAGTTGCAGGTTGAACTGTTAAATCAGAAAAAGTTATGTTTCACCTTTAAATGTGGGTGATTGCTTTTTATTGCTTTTATTAGTCGTGTTATAATGCCAACTCAGCAAGTATTCAATAGTAGCAACTTAATATCTGGATTTATTTCAGCTTTATTCTGTACATGATGCATCTATTACCCTCTTATTTTCCTTTTAGGCGCAGTTCAATGATATCATGGATCAGTGCAGTGGATTTGAATTGTAAGTATTCAATACATGTCCAACTGTGCCTGTGATCATGTATGATTTTGGGGCTTACTCGGAGCGTGAGCGTATTATGACCCATCTGTCCTCCGCAGCAACATGGATGACTGTGAGAAGATTGAGATATCAGAGGACAACGTCAATCAGGGAACAGAGAATATCAGACCAGAGTGCTTTGAGCTGCTTCGGGTCCTGGGGAAAGGAGGCTATGGAAAGGTAGCACATCATTTGAAAGGACAGTTCACGTGCACCCTCTGAATTGGTTTTCGATCTGTCCTGCAAAATGCAGAGTTTTTCATTTTACAATTTTGAATATGTTTATCACTTTTCCTTCTGTGCAGGTTTTTCAAGTAAAAAAAGTGGTTGGAGCGGCATCGGGCAAAATATTTGCCATGAAAGTTTTAAAAAAGGTACTTGTACTATTCCTTTATCAATACACTCAGAAAATCAATTACAAACAATGGCTGTATAGGTGTTTGTATACTGTTGACATACTTGTATACCTGCTATTACAAATAAACATTAACTGTGTTCAAATAATGTCTGTCCTTGAAGCCACTGGTGGGGTAAGATTTCACTTCTAGTTGGTAGATTGCCATCTGTGCTGCGCTGTTGCTGCAGCATTGGCACTTAAAACACTTTGCCTCAGCCAATTAGGTTCTGCTTGATTTTCACACTGCTTCTGCTCGATCGGCTCAACTGACCCCAGTGACACGTCGAAGACCCAGTCTTAAAGTTAAACTTAAAAGTGACAAGCATTTAGTGTTTTTGTAGAGCAGCATTGGTGAAGGCCTGCAGGCCAGAGCCCCTGTGTCTGAAGCTTTTTAGAGAGAGAAATAAGTCCTGACTTGCCCCAAAATTGTCAGTGAAACATACACAGCCAAGAATATAGGCTTCAGAGTGGAAGCCCGTTACCAGCTTGATCAAACAAATATATATTATTGATGTCTTCCCCTGGAATTAGGACAGGGACAGAGGGGTCCTTACCTGTTTGTTAGTCCAGCAGTTTGACAGTGGTACGACAGATATGTACATTCCTGTGCAAATGAGAAACACATAACAACTCACTATTAATTCAAATGACATAATGATGTAATGTGTGGTCTTGTTTTCCCGCTTCCCATTATTTTAGATGTGCTCTGACTATTTTAAACTACTAGGTGTTATATACCAGTCATGGCAATAACCAATAAAATAAGAACTTTGATTCCTTGTTCTGTGTGTGGGTACCTTAAGAGGAACTCTCCACAATGTGTTCTGTGTATTTCCTTGTTATTTTGCTGTACTCCATTTCTTGGCCTGTAGACAAGGCTTAAAAACTAATGTCAATAATAATGTCCAAGAATAATAATGGCAGGTGTTTATCAGACATCCTAACCTGTTAGATGGAGATACGTATGAAAATTGGCAAAATCTCCCTTTAATTACTACTGTAAGGGTTAACTACAGATAGACTTAGATACCTGATAAACATCAGTCAAAGATTAACAACACAGGTAGTGGTTATAGCATAGTAGAGCAGTGTTGTTGACAAATAGTTATGTTTTTTTATAGTATTTTTTTTCCTCCAGCAAAGTGATAAAGGAGTTATAATTGGGGGCAGCCACTGTCAGAGCTTTGCTAACTTATGTAAATGTTATTTATTAGTTTACCCAGATGTGGAAAGTTGACTCCTCAATCTCAGTACAGTACGGTAGTTAGTTGCCTACTCTGCTTCTCCAAAGAAGTGAAAGAAGTAGTCTACCCTCTTAGGCAAGTTGCTTGTAATCCAGTGATGTGCAGCCAAAATGTCACCCCTGCATTGTTTAAAACATGCCTATTCTTAGTTTAATGATGTTTCCTATCGTAACTAATGTTTGTGTGTTTCTTGTGATCTCGGGGAAACAGGCTATGATTGTACGCAACGCCAAGGACACAGCTCACACCAAGGCGGAGAGGAACATCCTGGAAGAAGTGAAGCATCCATTCATTGTTGATCTTATCTACGCTTTCCAGACTGGAGGGAAACTGTATCTAATCCTTGAGTACCTGAGTGGTCAGTATTATACACACAAACAGATATAACACCTGAGAAAGAAACACACTCTGCAGACATTGTATGTATGGAAGGACTCAAAGCATCCTTCAATGGGCTATAATAGGTATCTGGTGATGGTGACAGGCGTTTTTTTATTTATTTTAGGGCTATTTGTGCCTTTAATGGAGAGATAGGACAGTGGATAGAGTCGGAAATCAGGGAGAGAGAGTGGGGAATGACATGCGGGAAAGAGCCACAGGTCGGAATCAAACCTGGGCCGCCCGCTTGGAGGACTATAGCCTCCATACATGGGGCGCGCACACTAACCACTACGCCACCAGTGTCCTTTTTTTGACCACTTTTATCATTAAAGTAATGTTTAATAGACATTCTAATTTATTTTCTCATCTGGGCTGGCGGTGACAGAAGCAACAGTGACTCACCTTAATCTAGCCCATTCTCTTCCTACTTTCTATCGCTTCTCCTACTGACATTTTTAGCAGGGGGGGGGGGGGGTTCCTCCAGTACAGCCAATAGTTTCTTCTACTACTTTCGATTTGTGGGCACCGGCAGGACCCACCTGAGGCCAACTGAAGTTGGGCTTCCACACCAACAGGCGTGAGGAAAAGAGGGAGAAGTGGTGACATGCCTGAGGCTTAAAAGACAGGGCTGTCAACCAATACCACTTCCTACTATCATTCTTTCTAATGTTCAGTCACTCTGATAACGAAGCTGATGAACTGTGGGCAAATGTGAAGTTTTTGGCAATTGGGAAGTCTTTTTGCCTGGACAGAGACCCCAGGCTGACTGGTAATACAGTCGGGGAGGATTTGTGTCTTACCATGAACAAGAAGTGGTGTAACACAGGTCTTAAGGGAAACATTGTGTGTACCCGACATTGAACTCTTGCCTGTATCCCTACAGCCTTGTTATTTACTAAGCGATTCCTACACTTGTTTGTTACGTTGGAGTATATTCACCTGAAGGCTAACGATGATACTGCCACTTTTACTATTGTGAAGACAGTGCAACAGCTACATGGGATTGTGCCTGATGACCCAATTTTTATTTTGGGTCATTTGAACAACTGTAACCAGGTCTCTTAGTAACTTATCAATATGTAATGTGTACAACACGACCTATGACATGTCTGGACCTTTGTTTTGGATCCTTCAAGGGGGCTTACAAATCCCTTCGAAAGTGCTCCTTTCTGTCTGATCACTACACAGTTTGTTTAGGTCCGTCCTGTAAACTTGTCCCGGTGTTAACCACATAAACATGTGTGTGCAGGAGGAGAACTTTTCATGCAGCTGGAGAGAGAAGGCATCTTCATGGAAGACACAGCCTGGTGAGTAATAATGTATAATGTTTTTTTGGCTGATGGCACCTTGTTTAGAAATATAGCTGTGCATGAAGCTAGTCTTGTTGAGTTGACACAGGTTCTATTTGTTTGTATAGTTTCTACCTGGCAGAGATCTCCATGGCTCTGGGCCACCTGCACCAGAAGGGCATCATCTACAGAGACCTAAAGCCTGAGAACATCATGCTCAACAGCCAAGGTGTGTCTTATTGTGTACACGTGTGCATGTAAGGAAGAAACTCCATCTTGCTTGCATTCATCCTAAAGAAGGTTAGGTTTTCTTTGTTTTTAACACAAATATGCATCAATGTAAGGCAGAGAAAAAAATATGGGGGGGGGGGGGATAAACCATCTTTATGTGATAAAATGCATGCTTATTTGTTTTTATATTTATCCCAAATAGAAACATTTATTATTAGGGCTGTCAGCATTAGCTCGTTAATCTGTATTAATTTAGGCCTGAAATTAATGCATTCATATTTTTTTTTAATTGCATGGTGTTTCCTGATAGTCGCCTTGTGGATACACCTCCACAGTGTCTCCATGTAGTCACAGTGATGTAGAAGAGCGACACTGCTGCATCTTTGAATGTCTCATTTCACTTTGAAGCTCAGTTGTCGAGTCAAAAGTAGGCCTGGGTGATAAAACTATAACTATTATTATTTATTATTAAACCTATAATGACAGCAGAAGACGTGTGAGGCTAAAACGGGCAACACAACAAACCTTTTCCACCATTTGAAACAATATCAGCCATTAGAACACACTGAAAGCAAGAAATGACCAAACGTCCCAATCGAGTGTTAGTGTACCGTAGTAGCAAACTGTCATATCAGCGTTTTCCAGCACCGTGCACTGTGCTTACTGAAATGTTCCTCTGTTCAAGTATAGTTTGTCATGACAGTAAAGAATAATTAATTATTCTTAATTAAATTTAAAAAAATAATTAAATCCCAATCAACCATCAGGTTGACCATCAAAAATCTCTCTTTACATTTGAAAATGATCATGATTGGACATTCATCATGACACATGTGATATCATTTTTCATCATATCGACCAGCCCAAGTCAAAAGTCATATTCACCTCATGACATCCAACATTTCCCTTTTTTTTAGCGTTCCATTTGGCTGTCTTAAAGTAACGTTTGATCTACCAGAAGGTCCTTACTTTATTTCAAAATAAAAACACAGTTGTATCCAAACAGCAAGTCAAGTACTCTCAGCCTCAGACAGCGCAAATATTATTTTTTTTTAAATTGAGCGATTAATCGTGATTTAATAAATTTAAAAAAGTATTGTTTGGCAGCTCTATTTATTATCTGAATGTTGTTTTCCTTCCAGGTCATGTGAAGTTGACAGACTTTGGTCTTTGTAAAGAGTCAATTCACGATGGCACTGTCACCCACACTTTCTGTGGCACTATTGAATACATGTAAGTTGTTCTCTCTGTTTTCTTCTTGTCTTTCAACGACTCCTTCTCTCATACTTTAACATATATATAACTATGCATTTTGACTCCTTCTATTTGTACAGCTACCGTTGACTTATTAGCATTAGATATGTAGTCAAACCTGTTCATTGTCTTTGCTGCAGGGCCCCTGAGATCTTGATGAGAAGTGGACACAACAGAGCGGTGGACTGGTGGAGTCTAGGAGCTCTGATGTACGACATGCTCACAGGAGCGGTCAGTTAAAAATGCACAAACCTCCTCAAAACATTTGACTCTATTGGGTTCTTTTGAAATATAAATAACTGCTGGGAATGTTTGAGTAACCCCTTTCCCTCTCTATGTTGACGGTAGCCACCGTTCACAGGTGAAAACCGAAAGAAGACCATTGACAAGATCCTGAAATGTAAGCTCAGCCTCCCGCCCTACCTCACACAAGAAGCCAGAGATCTCCTGAAACGGGTATTGTCCTCTTTGTTCAAAAGCTTACCACCATCTTTGTTTATTCAAAATAAGCCCGAGGTTGTTGTGCGAGTATTCTTCTGACACCTGACTGCTGGTTTTAGCTGCTGAAGAGAAACGCATCGTCGCGACTGGGAGCAGGAGCAGGAGATGCCACAGAGGTGCAGGTGAGTACAAGAAACAGGCTCCATGTCAATTAGCCTAGTCCACTGCAGAGCATTAGACAGCATTTAACTGATCTATATCATTTGTCAAAAAAAAAAAAAAATGTCATAGGCTCATCCTTTCTTCCGGCACATCAACTGGGAGGATCTGCTGGCTCGGAAAGTGGAGCCTCCCTTTAAACCGTTTCTGGTGAGTAGAAGAGCAGCAGAGCAGAATACAGTCTGAGTCAGAAAGCTCTTTTTGTGATTGTAGATGGGGAAATGAGAGAATGTTAAAAGTAGAAAAAGATCACTGATAATGCTACTTCACCTTAAATTCTGGTTACCTGACTGACTTCAGGTGGGTAATGAATCCCAAGTCATCTCTTGTTACAGCCTGACTCGTTAGTTGGAGCATTAGCTCATGTTTGCCCTCTCTCTCTTCTACCTCTCCAGCAATCAGCTGAAGACGTGAGTCAGTTCGACTCAAAGTTTACCAGTCAAACACCAGTCGACAGCCCCGATGACTCAACTCTCAGTGAGAGTGCCAACCAAGCCTTCCTGGTAACTCCTTTGACTACATTTCAAATCGTTCCGTTGTTCATTTTGTCCCTGACATTTTAAAAATACACGTCGTATTGAGAAAACATTGAATGTTGTGAGGAACATGGTATAAATCACAAATATTTTTTATGTTGTAGTTAGGCTTGTATTGTCTTAAATTCACAAACAATTCTGGTGTCATACTGCATCACAGTGCAGGAGAAAAGATGCAAATCAAATTCATGGCTACAAATATCAGAGTCACGGCAAAGATGACTTCCACAGCTTTGACAATTGCTCTGAATCAGGCGCTCATTCTTATTTGCACCTTATTGAAACTGAAAGTGATTCGTCTCTGATGTCTTTTTTTTTTAGGGTTTCACATACGTAGCTCCATCAGTCTTAGAAAACATCAAAGAACGGTTCTCATTCGAGCCAAAAATCCGCTCACCTCGAAGAATCGTGGACAGCCCAAGAACACCTCTCAGGTACATCATGGTGTCTGCGCTCTGCAGCAGGAGTTCCACAGGGTCTAGTCTTCCTTTTAATTTCTTACCAATAACTGTCAGTTATTGTTGTGTTTTCTTGATTTTAACATTTTTAGGCTTTTGTCCTTCACTTAAAGGATTCCCAGATTAAATCCTCTACAGCGTTGATGTAACAAAATGCCTCCTCTCCTCGTCTCTTTTCAGCCCTGTGAAGTTCACAGGGGGGGAATGCTGGGCCCGGAGCCCCCTCCTCCCTGGAGCTGGACCGAGTGTCCTGCAGTCCCCACAGGACCAGGCCATGGAGCTGTCCACACCAGAGCAGATGGACGTCACATCAAACTCCGAGGCCTCAGCCCCTCTCCCCATCCGTCAGCCTGCCGGGGTCAACCTCGCTCAGATGAAGCAGCAGGCCTATCCTGTCGTGGCCAAGCGGCCCGAGCATCTACGTATGAACCTATGACCCACCGCACCTCTTTAGGAGAGTTTATTTCTTGACGTTTTTTTTTTTTTTCTTTGTTGACATTTTTTAAGAAACAAAGCAAAAAAAACCATAAGGATGTTAGAGACAATTAAATTCTTAAATTGCACATCCGCACACTACGTATACTGTCACAACCTGGAGTCTGTGCGTGGGCCTGGCACTCCAGCGTGCTTCAGTTTAAGTGTTACCGGCAACATCACCATCTCACCTCTTCTCCGACGACACCTCAGGTCTCACGACCTTCGTCCTCTGATCCACTCTCTGATGTATTGAACTGGAAATGTTCTTTTGGGAGCTACCGCCTTTTTGTTTGACTGGGAAATCAAAGGCGTTGCTGTATCACAGTGCATACAAGCGGTTTTAATCTAATATGCAGTCAACAGAACAAGATGACGTTCAAAGCGCTTTCTGCTATTTGATAGAATGCCGGCAAGGACATAACGTTCCTGCTATGGGGAGATTCTGACAGTGTAGACATAAATACTCCCTACTTCTGAACAAAATGATATTAATTAGGCTTATTAAGAAAAGAATAAAATAAATAATCATTTTGAGCAGCATACACACTGGGGTTCTGGTATTGATGAAAATAGCTTTATGTCTACAGGTGTTTTAGAAAATGGATGAATTATTGTACCATTCATAAATGATGAATCAGATAGCCTAAATTAAAAGAGAAAAAACATGTTGACTTTTTTACATTCTCCTGGCATTGATTTTGTGGATGGCGTGGAATGGTTTATTTGATATGGAAACTTCAGTTCTCTTGCCCTTCAAGCGTACAATGCTTTGGATGTGTCTACAGATTGGTTGAGACTTAGTTGAGCTTGATCACCTTCACCACCTAAAACATGAAACTAAGAATGGCACTGCTTTGCAACAATCCTCTCTGGCTGTGGGCTCAGCAGAGACACCACTGACCCCTGGAAAGATGCGTACCAAGACACAGTGGCACCAGTTGATCTGGACACGGCCTGCAGTTGTGAGGTTCAAAGCTCCAAAAACTCAAGACAGCATTTACAGCCTCTTGCATCAGTGTCCACTTCTTTAGGAGGGATTTATAGGATTCCTGAAAAGTAAGGAAATTATAATAAAATGTGAAAAAACCCAGAGTGCACTGTTTCTTTTTTGTGTTGATAATCATCTGTATTCAAACAATATAAGTGAACATAAATCTTTCAAATCGTAGTAACAATGCATCCTATAAACGTCGACTTCCATCACGTATGTCATCACAAAAAGCACTGCTAGAAGCATATGTCTCTATACTGTCACCCTGTGCTGTCCTTTTTTTTTTGTTTTGTTATTTTGCCGATTTGGACCCTGCATTAACACAAATTGCAATGTAAAAAAAAAAGATTTCTTTAGATTAATAAACATTTTCCCCATCACCAAAAAGTCATTGAAGCAAACTCGGGTAACTGATCTGAAAACCAGGGAAAAAATAAAAACCTAAATACACGGCTGAAGTGAGCAACCAAAAAGGCAAATCAAATCAAACCCACAAACGTAGTAATGCCCCGTTACATTTCAGGGTGAAACCTAGTCTCATAACAGTTACCTCCTGACAAAAAAATGTACTAGAACATCCCAAGAAACACCAAAGCAAAGTGAGGTTGTATAAAAACAAGTCGCAAGGGATTTGAGTGAATTGCAGCAGAAGAATCGACTGAAGACAAAATAAAAACATTGACCTTCAATGTGTAGTTCACAAATGACGCATACAAAATCCTAAATGTAAAATAAGTTACAAATTCGGTCTCCTCTCATATCCTGACATGAACCCTGGTTGTGTGCTTCAACATTAATGATTGACAAAGCAGTGAGATATTCAACGCTGGCTTTGGAGAAAATACTGAAACTTTCACTATTATATACTTCTCATGTTTAACATCAAGGCTGTTTCTCTGGAACCAGCGTTGCTGTTTGGTGAAAGAATTCAGGCTGGTGTTAGTGTCCTACTTAAACGGGATCTTTTTTTACACTGCAAAGCTTTGTGAAACAAGGATTACTGTTACAGTATGTCGCATTCATAGTTGCCATACATGATCACAGCCTATGCACGTAGTTTCTCTGAATATTCTCTGGATTAAGTTGTGAGACCTACCAGGGTCTAGCTGGAAAAAAAACAAACTATTTTGTACATTAATTCACAAAATAACTTAAGTCTTGTAAATGTAAATAGCTGAGTGAAAACAATTAACCAAACGAGATTAAAATGAAGAAGCTGCGTCATCAAAGACTACTTTGAAAGAATGGATTTGTTCCTATGATGAATAAATAAGAGACTGCTACAATGTGTAACATTCATGATATCTTGGTTCATTTAAGGATCGATTTGTAATATAGTAAGTATTGGTTATACGTTTCGCATATTGTGCAAATAAGTCTTTATATGGAATGTGTCCTCAGCCTGGAGAGAAAAAAGGCAACAATAACTGGGGTAATAAAAGCAGTCCTCGTGTATACCTAATGGTTCTTCTCGAGCCCACCCTTTGTAGTTTAAACATTCTTGCCCAATACAAAAACTAACCAAGGCACAAATGACTTCAGATGGGGCAAACAATGAACAAATATATTTAAAAAAAAAAAAAAACTCATTGGTACATATCTGAGACAATGGCAGCAACTGGGTTTAACCTGCTCTGGCAACAGATTGGCTGACTCAAACAGCAAGTGCATACATACAGTCAATTTGTGGTAGCACTTTTTTCTGTTTTGCCTTTTCCCTTAAGTATCCTTTTGTTACAGATATTCTATAAACAGAAAGGCAAAGTCACAAGAGCGGACTTAAAAAAGCTCATATTGTGGCTAATCTTTTGGTTAAGGCAAACTCTGCATAGAATCAACTACTTTTTACTTTGTAATTTACTACATTTAAACTCAATCAGTATCTCAAAGCAGGTCAAACCTATACACGCAATGGTTTGGTTTTGTTTTGAGCAGCAGAAAACAGTTTCAGCAAAGAAAAAACGTGAATTAAAAATAAAATGTCTACGCTAGTCAGAGATGTTTACATTGGAGGCCTCTGTTACAGTTTCGGAACAGGAACAGCAAGAAAAATACTTCCTCAGAGACAATCGCTTCCTTCTTCTTTTACATGAGCTTCGGATGACAGAGGTGAGAAACGGGGTGTTCTCTGAATGTAGCAGCTCCAGCAGCTCCAGCAGGACCAGAAGGACTGAACCAGACGGATTAGGGTGGAACTACAAAATGTCCACTGTCAGTCATTGTTTGAAGAGAGCATGAGGGGGAAAAAGTTTGTGCTTCTGTTGAGTCTCGTCATTGATCGGCTCTGCACCTCCAAGCAGCTGGGCTCTGGTCCTGCAGACGCCTCATTTTCTTCCCTAACCATACCCACCAAGCTAAACCAATGACAACACACACCACTGACTCCACATAGTAACCATCCAATGTCGTCACACAAGCGCCGCCTTCCTTAACACAGAGCTGGAGATGAGAAGGGGGGAAAAAAGTAATTAGTTCTATGTTCCACTTTGAATATTATCTTGTAGCCCCCCCCTTCCCCTTCTTTCTTACCCCTGACTCCTCTGCAGAGCCACAGCTCTGCCCCACAGCCCCCTGACACTCCTTAGAGGTCAGAGGATCCACCAACCACAAAGCCACAGTGGATGGCCAGTTTCCTCCGAGGTTAGTGACGGTGTTCAGCAGGGTCATGTAGGTCCCCCCGATGATGGGGTCACTTACTTTGGCATGGAAGGCCATGCAGGCCACATACATACTGTACAAAGCCACCTGTAACAGAATGGGAACCATTTGTTCAAGTTGATCAGTTCAAAGAAATGTAAAAACGTTCTATTCAATCTTTGTTCTTTAGTATGTAATACATTGATCCTTATAAACTGATAGCAAACAAGTCACAAGAGGTGTAAATGCAATCTCCCTCACTCCAATAAACCAAAACTGTTGTGACAAATGTCAATCAAATGCAGATGTTAGAGGGAAAGTCAGGGTATGACTGAAATCAGTAGAACTCATTGTCTGGAAACCCCTAATGTCTGTATGAACATGTTGACATGTTCACTAAACAGCTGCACATTTTTACCAGCAGATGGCATGAGAGTATAAGTTAAGGGTTAACTGAAGTCAGTTGTAGTCATGCTTTGTGCACTCTAAACAATGTCTACAGTGTTTTATGGAAGCTGATTCAATAATTTGATAAATATCTGAACTTTGGATCAACCAATGTACCAACAGACTAACATTGTTATTTTGTGAAAGGCCCATATGCAAGTTGCTGAGAACATGTAGGCAATGCTAGAAGTGTAACATGAGAAAGCAGGAGAGAGACAGAAATGCCAAACCTGGTGTAATGCGTAGCTAATCAGCACAATGGTGAAGTAGTACACAGGGAACCCTCCTTCTTGTTTTACACTGGGGGTCCACCACACCAGCAGAGCATACTCCAGTCCTATGAGCAACCTGCCACCACAACACAACAATTCCTTTAGCTGTTTGCTCATCAAATGTGGCTATGCAAGGATTTTAGTGTCAGTGTGTTTTGTGTGTTTGTGTGTTACAACCTGAAGGGGAACGCCTTGTAGAAGACATCCAGAGGTCTGGGCCCTGCCGTGTATTTACTGATGATCACAGGAAGAAGTATCTGCAGAGGAACCATGGGCACTGCCAGCAATGCCAGCTGCTCCTTTGGAACTCCTGCTTCCACTAACTTCAAACCTGTCACGGCGTCGGCTGCAGAGAAACCAACCTGAAACACACAGAGGACATCTTCACTTAAAGAGGAATAGGCATTTAGGCAGCAAATTTGCCAAATCAGTCATATTTCAAAAGAAAAACCAAATCATTATCAAGACATGTTCCAAGTACTTTAGCCGTGAGAAGCAGTCCACAAAAGGTGAAGACTGTGGGCATTTTGATGATAGAAAACAGCAGCTTGTAGGTTTCCATGACACCCTGTGTCTCCTCCTGCACTCTCCTCTTTCCTTTGGTGTGCTCATTTTCACTTTTGATGAGGGCAACCAATGTTGTAGAAACGAGGAACACCATTCCCCAGAAGAACAAGAAATCTGTATCAGGAAATTGGAAAGCATTACAAAGTATACTCATTTCACAAACCGCAGTTCTCTCATAAAGCAGCACATTTTTTTTTTTTTACATCAGGGGATGATAATACCTGGCAAAGTGACAATGCCTGTGTCCTTGGGCACAACTCTGAGGTACTTGTTGCAGAAGTCTGCTGATTCCAGAGCCAGAAAGAGCACATTTCCCAAGAAGTAGCCGGCTGTCTGGCCCACAGAGTTACATGTAGAAGCATAGCCGACGTTCTCTCTCGATAACATAGTCAGGGCCCAACCATCCACAGCTATATCCTTTGAAGCAGAAAAGATGGGAGAGATACTATCAAGTTGACTGTACTTGTCTTTCTGTATATATTTGTTTCAGTGTTTATGATTTCTTACCTGTGTCGCTGCCAGGAAGGCAAGCATAAAGAAGACTGCAGTAAGTGTTACCACCTTTGGGCCTCCTTCGCTCTGCAGCATCGAATTGACTGACATAGAGAGGTAGATCATAAAGAGGCCAAGCAGGTACTGCGTTGGCACCAGCCATGACTTTCTGCAAAGTGATGTCGGAGATGAATCAGGAAAGACATTAGCAGAGTAGAAAAAGAACCCACATTTCCATAATTGTATACTGTTTAAAACATCAAGAGTATACAAGTGTTCTTCTTACCTTCTACCAAACCTACTGAAGTAGAGAGCATCCACCAGAGGTGCCCAAAGAAGCTTGAGACTGAACGGCCAGAAGACAAAGCTGAAGAAGGCTTGGTCTCTGTAGCTTACATTCTTGCTCTGTAAGATTAAAGGAATACTACCAGCAAGTCCAAGAGGAATCCCCTGAAGCACATAAAGGAAGAGAAGAAGCAACACATTCCCCATCTCGCCACGAATCCCAGGCTGGACTCTGTGTCTCCTGTTCTCAGAGTCTGACCCACTGATAAGATCCTCTGCTTCATCTCCTTCTACGTCTGGTTCAGAGGAGCTTGATTCTCCCCTGTCCATGCCCCTCATGGTCACCAGCTTCCTCTGTCGCCCGTTCTTGTGTGTGGTCAAATCTGAGTGCTCCAT